CAAGTATAGATGATATCTGACAGTGATTAAAATCACTATCATAAGAAACGCTTCGATGCAAATCTGTAGATAGTGTTTCCTTTAGAGAAATTGGTGAAATATTTTAAAAGCAACATGAACTCTTATTTCTTTAATTATATCCTGATTAGTAGTACTTTGATTTTAAAATATAATATATGAATAAATACTAATTATAGTTTTTAAATTCAGTATGAAATGTGAGGCCAGCTATGATAGTATTATATGATAGTTCATAGTATTGGAAGGATGATAAGAAAGTAGAGCAGCGAATAAGTGTAGCAGAGATCANGGTTGATAAGAAAGTAGAGCAGAGAATAAGTGTAGCAGAGATGAGAATGCTTAGTTGGATGAGTGGAGTGACTAGAGAAAATAGGATAAGGAACGAGCATATAAGAGGAAGTAAAGGTGTTGCGTCAATCGTGGATAAGATGACAGAAAATAGACTTAGATTGTTTAGTCATGGTATGAGGAAAGAAGAATCGAAAGCTGTAAGAACAGTTATAGAAATGAATGTTGAAGGAAGAAGAGATAGAGGAAGACCAAAAAAGAGATGGAGGGATGCTATTGAATGTGATTTGAGGACAGCTGATGTGAGCGTAGAAGATGTGGGAGATCGTGTCAAGTGGAATCTTAGGATAAATGTGGCCGACCCCAAGTAGTTGGGATTAAGACATAGAAAAATAAAAAGATTACCAGAAATTCCGGTGGCAATTGACATAATATAATTGTTGTTTGGGAATGTACAATTTAGCGTTTAGTTGGGATTAAACAATATAGTGTTAAATCAATTACCTACTCTATCGGTTGTATCTCAATATACACTAAAATTTAATACTCATATTAAATGTAATGTAACTCGAAAAATATTTGTTTAAATGAAAAACTATAAAATAATTTGTTTATTTATAATTGTTTTTTAAACAACTTTTGTACGAAACTTTTTTTTGTAAGTGAAATATTTTTTGAGAAAATTAAAAAAGCTCATATTTTTTAATTTTTGCGAGGCTGTAAAAAAAAAAAGCTCAATTTCAATCAATGAGGACTATTAGTATGTCATTATACATATTTTAATTCAACTATTAATCAGACAAAATTTGGTTGGGAATTTTTTAAGAAATTTTTCCTTTGTTGACTTGCCTAGATGTCAATTTTAAACTTGTAATTGAGCNAATTTTTCCTTTGTTGACTGGCCTAGATGTCAATTTTAAACTTGTAATTGAGCTAAAAGTTATGGTAATATATTCAATTTATTTTACTATAAACTTTCATAAATCTTTATCAAAAATTTTTCATCAACTTTAAAGAACCAAAAAAATAGGTTAAAAATGAAAATTTGGACTGATTATTTTTAACATATTAAAAATCAAATCAGTAATAATTTGAAAACAATTTTTTTTTCTTTTAATTATTTTTTATATGTAATTAGTAATAATATAAAAAATTAGAACTGATAGATAAAGTCTAATTGCAGATTTGAAAACAACGCGAAACTTTGATTTAGAAAAGTATATTTTTGCTGTCCAGTGCATTCATTTATAGTAACAAATAGTTTTTATTGATAATTATTGTATCAAGCCCTTTAAATTTTTATACACGTAAAAATAAAGCAAAATACAACTTCTTTATTATTTTTATAATTTCTCCGTTTAAATTACAATATTAAATTATTAAATATCAATTTCATACTAAATTTAAAAACTATAATTAGTATTTATTCATATATTATATTTTAAATTCAAAGTACTACTAATCAGGATATAATTAAAGAAATAAGAGTTGATGTTGCTTTTGGAATAATCCACCAATTTCTCTAAATGAAACACTATATACAGATTTTCATCGAAGCGTTTCTTATGATAGTGATTTTAATCACTGTTAGATATCATCTATACTTGTCCCATCTCTGCCTTGTCTACACTGTGCCTCGATCCCACTGTGCTACCGTTTTTTTTTTACTTAAAACTGCCATAACTTTTTTACAAAGTGATTCTTCTAACATTAGCCAGTCAAGAGATAAATATATCTTTGGGAGTGAAAAGTTTTTCTTTCATAGATCTATCTCTAATGCTTTATAAAGGTATATTTTTAGTTTGACAACTGATATTATTATTTATTTTAAATTAATAGCGTTTGATTTTTTTATTTAAATTTATTCATTTTTGTGATATAACACTTTAAATTTTGATATTTTGAAATGACATGTATAAAATAAGCAGGGCTATAAAAACAGGGAGCTAATTGTAGCATGAAGTATTTATACTTTTGTAGTATAATCTGTTAAGTAAATATAATTCATAATATAAAGTAAAACATTTTTTTTAGGATACACTTTAACATGAAATTATTTATATTGTAAAAAATGTATTACTAATAATTAGTTCTATGTTTGATTTATAGTACTATTTATCAACTTGATTATTTTTTTACTACAAAAATGACTAAGTTTTTATGACTTATTTAAACAATAAAAATATATACTGTGGAGCATTAAAAAAATACGTAGTCTTAAAAGTTGTATATGTTGTAATTGAAAAAGTTAATTTAAAAGAACCTTTATGAGGCATAATATTTGATAAATACAAAAAAAAATAAATACTCAGCACAGTGGGGACGTGGCATAGTTAGTTTCAGTATACATTTAATCTGACAGTGATTACCATCATAAGAATAAAATCACTATCATAAGAAACGCTTCGATGCAAATCTGTAGATAATGTTTAATTCTAAGAAATTGGTGGATAATTACAAAAGCAACAGATCTGCTAGTTCCTTATTTATATCCTGATTAACTATTTCCTTACAATAAACTTCAAAAATATTAAAAATGAATGATTTTAATTGTTTGTATGAATAAAGCTAGTTAAGCTACTTTTTATTTGAAAAAGGAATATTTTTTCGGTTTTTAAGAGTAATAACTTAAAGTAAATACGAATTGTAATCATTTGACGTATCGTTGAAAAAAGTAGATCTAGTGAGGGTTTGCAAAATAAATCGTAGCTACAAAAAGAACCACATAGTAAAATAATATTAACATGAATATAAATTTCTTATCACGAGGGGAGACTATAGTGATAGGATCCTATATATTTATTGAAATTATTGAATCTAAATGAGATAAATATCAAATGATTTGAAAATTTTATTCTAACTCAAAAAAAATGCAAAATATTAATTGCCACAGACTGATTTTAATCTCGTACTCTAAGCGTGAGAGACACAGATGTTACCAATTCGGCAACTGTTCGTTGCTTTCGTCACGTAATAAAATTGGCGATTAAGCTAACTCAAATTTAAAAATTACTTTTAAGACTTTAAAAAAGTAAAAAAATTTTAATCAGTTTAATATTTCATAAGTTCATAAGACATAATTTCTTATGTTTTATGAACTAAATTCTATGTCAATTAAATTATATAATTTTCATGAAAGTCAGTGTAATGCCCTTATAAGATATTTTAAAATAAAATAAAATACAAAACTCAGGATTTTAACGCAAAAATAGCATATTTTTGAATACGGTAGCCATTTACACATAGAAGATAGGTTGTCGGAACAAATTTTTTTTTTTAATTTTATAGTACATGACATAAGCTTTAATATTATATATGTTGAAAGGACGCAGTATTTACATTTTTAAAAGTTAAGTTGAAAAAGTTAGTTTTTGTAAAAAAGTTGCGATTTAAAATCCCCCCCTGTGAGCAGCATATGTGTTATATTTTCAAAAAAAATGATACCAAATGAAAGAACAATACTTAAGGTTTTAATATAAAAAATATTATTTTGATTTATTAATATTTGAAAAAGTTATGGCAGTATTAAGTACAAAAAGCATCCCGATAAAAGGTGATTTTTATCGCAAACATTACATTTTTTTTCATTTTATAGTATATGATATAACCTTTGATTTGATATATATTTAAAGGACGTAGTATTTACGAAACATTTTCAAAAATTAAGTAAGTTTTTGTATAAAACTTGCTATTTTCAATCCCCCCCAGCGAGCAGGTAAATTGTTAAATATCTAATGAAAGAGAAATATCTAAGGTTTTAGTATAAAAAAAAACCCAGCACAGGGGGGTCGTGGCACAGTGGTGACGTGGTATANAAAAAACCCAGCACAGGGGGGTCGCGGCACAGTGGTGACGTGGCATAGATAGATCAAGTATAATGATATCTGACAGTGATTAAAATCACTATCAAAAAAAACGCTTCGATGCAAATCTTTAGATAGTGATTAATTTTAAAAAACCAAGCACAGGGGGGTCGCGGTACAGTGGTGACATGACATAGTTGAATCAATTATAATGATATCTGACAGTGATTAAAATCACTATCAAAAAAAAACGCTTCGATGCAAATCTTTAGATAGTGTTTAATTTTAAAAAATTGGTGGATTATTCCAAAAGCTTCATAAACTGCTAGTTCCTTATTAATATCCTGATTAAGATAAAGTATGTAGAATGAAAAAGGGATTATTAAAAAATAGTATTTCCCATAAAAAAATTATATTGATCAATACACTTTTCAATAAGTTATAGCATTATAAAGTTAAAAATGTAAAAAATAAAATTGAGAATTTTCACACAATAATAGCATTTGGTAGCCATTTTCACCGTGAAGACGAAATAAAGTCCGAAATTTGATTATTACATAATAAAGTAGATTACATTAGCTTTAATTTAATATATATATAAAAGTGTCAGACTTTCCGGAACACTTTTAAAATTTAAGTTGAAAAAGTCAATTTTTTGTGAAAAAGTTGTCATTTTGAATCCCCCCCTGTAGGCAGGTAAAAAGTCAGATTTATA